AAAGAAAGAAAGAAAGAAAGAAAGAAAGAAAGAAAGAAAGAAAGAAAAAGAAAGAAAGAAAGAAGAAAGGCACCCAATTCAGCACACACTTACCTCATCCCTAAGTGAGGGGTCCCTATAAGCCACATCAGACAGCAAAGTGACCAAGCAGAAGCTGAAGCTCTCTGCAACCGGGAGGGTGGCTGGAAGGCACATAGACACGAGTCAGATCATTACCACTGAGACACTGGACCATACCTACAGGCCATCCAATTCAGTAAGTTCCCTCTCTCACAGGGCCTGCCAAGAGACCAGTTTACAAGGATGGCTGCCCTCACTGAGGTGAACCTCAAAAGAACAGATATGGGCCCAACATGGTTGCTGAGAAATACCCCGAACTTTTTTTTAATGGAATGTTTTGGTTCAATAAACTTAAATGTTTCTGCCAATTTATAGTTTGAGATTATACAGTGTCTCAACATGACAGACTCCATTTTTTATTCCTGACCGAAATTTCTACCCAGGGTGAGAAACCAATCTCGATACAGTATAAGAGATGGTATATGGAGGCTAACCATCAAGTATCAATTACCACTACTTTAAACTGAATTAAATGTTTATATTTCTTTTCTGCTTTATTTTGACAAGTGGAGAAAATCCTAACTAAGAGCTTCCAAAGATTTGCTCTATTCCTAATAAGTTTTTAAGCCCTTCCACTACCGACCTCTTCTTAGGGAGGTTCTCAGGAGCATGGCCTCAAGGTCAGAAAGGGATCACTGGACCTAAAAGACCAAAAAAACCAGTGCTTCTATGGTGTGCACCTTAAAAATGTCAGAATCATTTCTGTGTAGATCTAATCCCTATTAAATATTTAATCAATTTTGAATATTATTTAACCAAGATCTATTCATAGCACATGGCAGAAGATTGTTATGTGTTCACTTCTGTACCTATAACTTTAAGATGCAGCTCTACGTCCTTCTTAAACTTGAGTGCGATCAGAATCACCTGCAGGCTTATTGAAATGCAGACTGCCAGCTTCCCTAGCCCCAGAGTTCTAATTCCTCAGTAACTCTGATGTGGGGACTGAGAATCTGCATTTCTGACAAATTCCCAGGTGATGCTGATGCTGCTGTCCCAGATGGCACTTTGAGAACTACTCCTCTAGAGTTTAAAAGCATAAATCATACTGCCTGAATAAAAATAAAAGAGTGAAATGTTACCTAATAGTTGGAAATTTATATATCTCTAACAATGTTTCAAATAGTGCTAAAACTTTCATCCTAGTGGGAGTCCATGTACAGAGAAGTGATGCTTGCTTTGAAAGAAAAGAAAATAGAATCAACTTCTACTGGTATTCTACTTCTCCCTAAATTAGGTAACAGTGGTGGACAGAGATGTTTGACTTTTTTAGCAATGCTTTCTATTTAATCTGTAGTCCTTCAGGGTGGGAGGATGGGCAAAATAGGGAAAGGGGACAAACTTCCAGGTCTAAAACAAAGAAGACACAGGGATACAATGTATAACATACGGAATATTATCAATAACAGGTAATGACTTGGTGTGGTGACAGACTGACAGAAGCTAGATTTATCATTGTGATCACTTTGTAATGTACATAAACTTTGAATCGCTATATTGTATGTTTGGAACTAATACAATATTGTATGTCAACTACATTGTGATATAAAAAATTGTAGTCCTTTAAATTCCAGGGTACGTGCATAATTTGGAGTCTGTCACTTTTAGGCACAATAGGTTACCAGAAATGATGAAACCCAAAGGAGAGGAACAGACACAAGCAGATGTTCATGAGAACAGCAAAACCCATCTTCAGCAGGCTGAGCCCACCCAACAAATTAGGGCCATGCCACCAATGAAAAGGACAAGGGCCTTCTCTATAGGCACCAACCCCCTGCTATGTCTGAAAGTGGACCTCAGGCCTCACATAGGGAGATTATAAGAAAACTTCAGTCTCCACGGTCATGATCTCGAGAATGTTGGAGGTGTTCCAAACTCATATGGGAGTCTTGGGAAATCAATATATAAGAACATCAGTGTTACAAGTGCTTAGCACAATGCCTGGCACGTAGTGGACTTATATACCATTTTTAAAAGTACAAAATTTAACTAAAACTCAGCAACAGCAACAAAATCATCAACTGTTTACAGTGAATATGGTGTTCAAGCCCTGGACATCCATCTCACCCTTCCTTTTTCAGTAGCAGCGATGCAATCTGGAGAACTGGATGCACTCCAGGAGTGAGCCTATTCATCTAAGGGTAAGAGAGACTGGTTGAGGGATGGGCAGGGGACCCAATTCTGGCAAGGAGACATGAGAAAAGGTTCCTGAAGGTCTCCAAGTTCCTGTTCACTCCCAGAGTACAATGCAAAGCTGGTTTTCTCAGCCTTGCCCTCGCCCCCATGGGCTCTGGACAACAATGAGTAAGCATAGCCCATACTGCTGCAGATAGGCTTGTCTCACAGCCAAGAGTGGAACCAGCTAGAAACATTGTACCTGACACATTATTATGATTAAACACCTGATCCATACAGACTGTGAGCATACATGCTCTTCCCTGAATTCAAGGAAAAATTTATACAAAATTACCTCTGCCTTTCCGAGCTGTGCTTTCTTCTACCCAATACACTTTCGGAAGACCTTTAAGCAGTCGAAGAAGGTAAGGAACCACAGAATCTTTGTGCTTAAAAAAAAAAAATTATATTTAATACAAGTGTGGCTGGTAGTAAAGCATATGCATCCTAATCATCTCAAAGATGGATGTTCAAATGGATGGGAATCCTTCCTGTTTCCATATGGCAGCAGCAGGTGGCATCAGAAAGTTATCACACCACTTGCACCAGGGGTGCCTAAGGAAGGGCTAAAATCTGCCCTTCTGCTGCTGAATGTCCAGCCTGGCTCTGGCCCTCGCTGGGGGCTAGGCCCCCCAAGAGGGCGTCTCCACAAGAAAGTATGTGTGCACACATACTCTCAAAACTGCCTTCGACAAGAGTGTACAGAGAGCCCCCAAGCCCTTCAGTGGGCCCCAGGATCAGATCCTCTAGACTGAGGGAAGGTCACAGCCATAAGCTTCTAAACTTGGGGATGCTTCTGTTATTCATGGCCTTTGTCTCTTTTTTTTCTTTCTTTCTTTCTTTTTTTTTTTAATTTTCTGTTTCATGTTTCCTTTTGCTTTTCCTAATTTGAGCATTAGACTTTATAGCCATCATTAGCCAGTACAAAAACTACTTTCTTCTAGTTTCCGAACTAGCCAGTCAACATGTCACTTCATAACTTTCCATGACTGACTCTTTTGGTTGTTTCCCTATTTATAACTGTTCTGGTTAAGGATTAGGTTAAGTGTACTCCTGAGAAGGGGGATACTGTTTGATGTTCTGAAATATTGAAAACAAAACAAAACGTGTGGTAATACTGAAAATATGGCTCCAAATTCTGTGATACTCCTTCCACGGAAAGGTAGAGTCAAATTTACCTCGCCTGGAAAATGGGCTGCCTTAGTAACTTGCTTCTGGTGTTTTTAGAAAGTACAATTGAGCTTTGCGCAGTGGCAGTATCGTAGCCAATGAGGTTTATCCGAGGCGCGATTATTGCTAATAGAAAGTACAATTGATTCTTGAACAACATGGGTTTGAAGTGCACAGGTCTACTTGTATATGGATGTTTTTCAGTACTGTAAATGTATTTTCTCTTCCTCACAGTCTTCTTAATAACATTTTCTCTAGCTTACTTTATTGTTTTTGGTAAGGCTTCTGGTCAGCAGTAGGCTATTAGTAGTTATGTTTTGGGGTTTTATATGTTTTATATGTCAAAAATTGTATGTGGATTTTCAACTACACAGGGGGTCAGTGCCCCTAACCGCTATGTTGTTCAAGGGTCAACTGTAATTTAAGAGACCGACTTCTCAGGCTAAAGAAGACAGTAACAGCATCCACCTGGCTTTTTCTCAGGACACATGCCCTCGGGACCCAGACATTACATTGTGACAAAGTGACATAGCCCAGGCCACATGGAGAGGCCATGTACATAGGGGTGTCCTGGTTGAGCACCCCAGCTTAGGTCCCAGCCAATAGCCAGGATCAACCCACACCCTTGTGCATGAACAAGCCTTCAGGTGATTCTAGCCCCTAGCCTTCAAGCCACTCCAGGTGACACTGAATGGAGCACAGACAGTGACTCTTCTGTGCTCCAGCTAAATTGGAGATTCATGAGAAAAGAGAAAAAACAAAAACCAACCTATCATATTAAGCCACCAAATTTTGGGGTAGTTTGTTCCACCACAATACATAACCACAACAAATAGAGAACTTTCTTTAGCAAAAACAAAACTTTTCCTCTAAATCAGATGAAGGAGATGGCTACATCTGTCCAGGATCCCATTGTACTAAGAGGTACAAAACTCCAAAGGCTGTGTAAGGCATGGCTCCCTGCAGAGGAAGTGACCCCAGGTGTTCTCTCCTGTAGAACCTGTGATGGCTTTTGTAGCAGGTAGGAGTAAACTACTTCTGCTACTCTGGCCACAGCTGCTGCCAGGGCAGCCCACTGACTGGACTTGGAGGCCAGAACCACAGCCCATCCTGGATGGAGGCAGGGAACATCAACACCAGGTGAACCAAGAGAAAGCTGGTCGCTAGGGCTCAGGGGGCTGGTAAGGCCTGCAGGGCCCCTCTCCTCATGTGGTGAGGTCAGTGGGCTTCCTAGAAGCGCTGGCAGACTGCATGGCTCAAGGAGCTGTGACCCCAGGTCCCGCCAAGCTTTACCAGGAACCCAAATTACACCAACGTCATTTGTGTTTGTCTCTTCCTTGCCACCCTAAAAAGCCTACCACAAATATTAGGGACTTATAGGTAAATCTATTAAGTAATGTGTTTGCCAAAGATATTTTCGATTAATACACACTTGGATAGCAGTTTCTCATACAGATTATTTTTAAAATTCTTTTCCTCCCCTTATACTTGAATTTAAATAAGACTGCAAAAAGGAAATATGATTTTTTTTCTTTTCACATTTATAAAAAAAATAGGAAGAATAATTAAAATGCAGTTTATATGCATCGAATTTTGGTTTTTCGTGCGGCCTTGGTCAAACAACCTATTTCATTTTCAAACTACTGCTCTAAAATTAAAATGCTTATTTTTTTTTCAAATGAATGAATACCCTGTCAAAAATATTAATCCTACTAAAGTAGAATTTCCAGGACAGAGGCACCTGGGTGGCTCAGTTGGTTAAGCGACTGCCTTCAGCTCAGGTCCCACGATCGAGTCCCACAACGGGCTCCCTGTTTGGCCGGGAGTCTGCTTCTCCCTCTGACCCTCCCCCATCTCATGCTCTCTCTCTCCTTCTCTCTCTCTCTCTCAAATAAATAAAATCTTAAAAAAAAAAAGAATTTCCAAGACATGTAAGCATTTTTAGATAAATAAAAATTCAAATATCTAACATCTTTATTTTCCTTACATAGCATGATTAAACATGGAATTAAAAGTGATTCTTGATAATGATAAAAATAAATAAACAAATAATAGATTCTGTATTCAGTGATTAACCATTTGCTTCAATTAGCCTTGGGAAGTACTAAAAAAAAACAAGGCCACATCATTTTCTGTTGGAGCCACAACACTGTATTATTTATTACTAAAACTTATTTTATATCTATCACAGTTTTTTTTTAAGATTTTTTTTTTTTTTTTTTTAGGGGCATCTGGGTGCTTAGTTGGTTAAGCAGCTGCCTTTCAGCTCAGGTCATGATCCCTGGGTCCTGGGATACAGCCCGAATCCAGGTCCTGCTCAGTGGGGAGTCTGCTTCCTATTCCCCCCACCCTTCCCCCCCACTCGTGCTTTCTTACTCACTCTCTCTCTCTCAAATAAAATAAATAAAATGTTTTTTAAAAAAGATTTTTTTATTTTTAAGTAATCTCTACACCCAACGTGGGGCTTGAACTTACAAAACCAAGATCAAGAGTCATACGCTCCACCGACTGCACCAGCCAGGTGCCCCTATATCTATCACAGTTCTGAACAAGATTGTATTATGTCAAAGTTATCTCAAAGAACACCATCCTTTGGAAGGGAAAAAAAAATGGTTACTGACCAACGAACATTTGACCTTAGATTGAAAATCAAGTCTACTCTGGAGGGCACACAATTACTTCATTTAGCATTTTAATTAACTTTCTGGTCAAACAAAACACAGTAACAACAATCAAAAACCACTTTAACAACTTAATTATTCACACAGTTTGAAAAACAAAATTTCTTAAGAGGGTGTACATTAATTAAACTAATTAAATTACTCCTGCCTGTTCTACCCACTCTGCCTCACCATCACTAACCACTTTTATTAGGTTCATTTGCATTCTTCTAGTACTGCTTTAGATAAATATAAGCAGGTACAAATTTAAATTCTAATTATACTCCCCCATTTACACTGCAAAAACACTTTTAATGTAGTAAAGACTTACCTGAAGATCAGATTCAATGAGAAAAATGCCCAACGCGATCACCGCATCTCTCCGTCTTTCATCCAATTGGAAGATCCCATGGAAGTCTACTGGACACATACAAAGCAGCTTTTGGACCTAGAAAATGAGACCAAAAACAACAAAAAACCCCATAGATTAAAAAAAATATAAACCCACATTCAGAATATAGGACATAAACCAGTAGCATAAAATCCCAGTGAGTCTATATAACCAATAAGACATTTTTTTCCAATTCAAAAATCATAGAAAGATCATCTCTAGCTTCTGAAATGATCATACACATGCTCCCAAAACATATATGCGCTAAGGAACCAGGACCAAGAGTTAAAATGATGCATACACGGAGGAGGTAAAGCACAATAGCTAATGTCTGCAATTCTGAGTCAGAACAGTCATGGGTCAGGCGCCTGGTTGGCTCAGTCATTAAGCGTCTGCCTTCGGCTCAGGTCATGATCCCAGGGTCCTGGGATCGAGCCCTGCATCGGGTTCCCTGCAGGGAGCCTGCTTCTCCCTCTCCCACTCCCCCGCTTGTGTTCCTTCTCTCGCTATCTCTCTGTCGAATAAATAAATAAAATCTTTTAAAAAAAATTAAAAAAAAAAGAACAGTCATGGGTCTCTACTGCCCAGTAGTGCCCAGAAGCAGTTTACCCAAACCCGCCTACCATCACAATTTCCCATAGGGTTCTTTAAAAGATCAAATGTGTGTAAAGCGCTTAGGACTATGCACAGTAGATACGAAATGCTCAACAAACATTATCTGTTGTTACTGGATATGCCATAATAGTGGCTAGCAGAAGCAAATGGGCAATAAGTCAGCAATTTACTGAATATATGGAAAAATTTGAACTGTTTCAAAACAAAATAATGGTAAATGTCTGACATAAAGAACTAAAAATCTAGGTTTATTATGAATAGGAAAATAGGTGATGCCAATCTTGAAAATTACTGCCACAAGACCCTCTTAGCAGAACATTCAGATACACCAGGAGGCCCCAACCTTGCTGTTCTATGAACAGACCCAAGGAGAAGTTGCTCACTGACATTCATATAGTCTGGTGGGATTTTTTTTTTTTTTAAGATTTTACTTATTTGAGGGGCACCTAGGTGGCTCAGTCATTAAGCGGCTGTCTTCAGCTCAGGTCATGATCCCAGGGTCCTGGGATTAAGCCCCGCATTGGGCTCCCTGCTCCGGGAAGCCTGCTTCTCCCTCTCCCACTCTCCCTGCTTGTGTTCCCTCTCTCGCTGTGTCTCTCTGTGTCAAATAAATAAATAAAATCTTTAAAAAAAAAGATTTTATTTATTTGAGAGAGAGCAAGCATGAACAGGGGAAAGGGGCAGAGGGAGAAGGAGAAGCAGACTCCCCACTGAGCAGGAAGCCTGACGCAGGACTCGATTCTAGGACCCCGGGATCATGACCTGAGCCTAAGGCAGATGCTTAACCAGTTGAGCCAGCCAGGCACCCTGGTGGAATGTTTTAATGGCAAAGGACATTGAGTACAATGCTTGAGATTTGCCCTGAAAATATCAATTACCATTGCAATTTAAAAAAAGAAAACAGATTGGGGCGCGCCTGGGTGGCTCAGTCATTAAGCGTCTGCCTTCAGCTCTGGTCATGGTCCCAGGGTCCTGGGATCGAGCCCCATATTGGGCTCCCTGCTCAGCAGGAAGCCTGCTTCTCCCTTTCCCGCTCCCCCTGCTTGTGTTCCCTCTCTCGCTATGTCTCTGTCAAATAAATAAATAAAATCTTAAAAAAAAAAAAAAAAGAAAACCGATTTTAAAAGGGCAAATACACAAGCCAGAAAGAGAAGTACCTTCTAACTTGAAGACAGGTAATATTCTTTGTCTCAGTAATTTTCCTCTTAGGAATGATTGTAAAGAAATAATTAGAAATCTTAAGGCAAAGACTATGTAAAAGACTTTCACCACAGTGTTGTGTATATTAATCAAAAATCTGAAACAATCTAAATAACAACATTAGGAAAATAAATGATTTCACCATTTGGTGAAACATTAGGTTAAACCATATGAAACTCTGATAGTCAACCAAATTTTTGACCTACCCAAACAGTGCTTTCATAAAATCTGACCTAATAATACAGACACGAAAAATGGTATTTTTCTAAGACTAAGCAAAGACATGAACAATGTTCTAATAGTTCTGTAAATTCATGTGAGGAATGATCTGGATTAT